AAAACAAATGCTGGGAATACTCAGCGAGTCTGGCTAATGAGTTTGCATCTGGAAAAGTGGTATAAGCAGGTGTTAAGCAGTATAATGGCAGGAAAAGGGGTGGGGGAACATAATTGAAAGGAAATAAGATAGAAGGCAGGACAGATTGCAGACAATTCCTCCAATTGGTATATATCCTGCCTAAAACACAAAGCCTGGGAATTTAAAATCAAACAGCAAGTAGTCAAAATAAGCAATGACAATTCAATTTGTCCTCACACAAAAGCCCAGATATAAGAGTGGTACTCTGCATCTAATGTAATTGTTTTTATTGTGTTTTATTGGATTGTAACATTTTGAATTTCTTTGTAAAATGTGCCAATCGAGTTGAATTTCTGCGATAAATGGATGAATTTATATTGCTTGGTTCCCTGCCTTTTATACCCAAACACAGTGAATGAAATCTGAATGCATATTTATCAGCGGTAGAAGTTTTGCATTGGATAAAAATTAATCATTTGATATTTTTATTTCTGTTTATGGAATGCAGACGTATGCTTTAGTGTCAGAAATGTTCAATCATAAGTTTCAATTTTTGTGTGAATTTTAGTTATCTAGGTGAATAATGGTAGTGCTGTGATTTGGCTTACAGTGAATGTTTTGATGTGGAAGTATTTCAGTCGAGAGCCCTTTTTCAAAGGAAAATAGTTGGAGGTAATTTTGAATCAATTTGAAAACCTCTTTTTTTTCCTAACTATTTCTGTTATAAGCAATTAGTAGATCACAGTGAGTTGTTGGAAATACTCTATTATTATCTGGATTTGCTAAGCGTGACAGCTGTCCTTACCAGCTCTGGGAAAAAGGCAACTGGAAGCATTTATTTTATTGAGCAACCTGTCTTAAGGGCAAATGATCCGTACTGCTGGACATCAGGACTGAAAAGGTTAGGATAGAAAATAAAGTAATCAGAATAATTTGTCGGTAAACATGGCATTGTAAAATGTCAAATGTTAAAACGTGTGAGTGCCACAGTATTCAAGATCTGGGACTCAGTAAGTTAGAGCAGAAATAAATGACTTGCTGAATCAGGACACATTTTGTCAAAGCTATTTATCTTGCAATTATCAGGACAATTTGCAAGGATACTAATTCAAGGGGAAAACTAATGAAAATGTGACTGCAACACAGTGAAGCTAAGAAAGGACAGGATAGCATGTAGATTTAGAACATTGGATGAAAGAGTAAATTTCAAAAAAATAATGAACATAACTCTGTTTTGGCAGTATTACTATGAATTGAGAATTTGCATCAGCAGCACGTTGTACCTGATATGGCAAAGATTGTTATCTCCTGAAACACAAACTGGGATTGAATATTTGTGGTATTGAAAAATCCAACAGGCATTTACCACAATTAACTATATTCACAGGCACAATAGTGTCTGAGCTAACATTCAGCCATGAGGATACACAGAGCAGCATGCTTCCAACAGTTCACACTTCAAGTGCTCCTGGGGAAGATGCATAAATGATCCTTTTCTCCTCCGGTTACATGGTATGTTTCAGTGATTATACTGTGATCATGTCTATGAAAGATGTACTGACATACTGACTGTGAAATGGCACATTGGGTGCGAGATCTGTGCCTGTGCTGCTGGATCCTCACAAATTGCCTTGTGCAGTGAGTAGTATCCTCAAAATGGACTTCAAGGCCTTGATGCTGGAAGCGGTCATCTTGGTAGCTAGACTTAGTTAGGTCAGCAAACTTTCTTTGGGACAAAATGCCGAAAATGCTCTCATTGATTAGTAGAGACAAGTTAGCCTTTTTGGTGGGTATCAGGTCACAACAACTTTGAAAGTTTTGCAGCTTTTTGCATGAATGTCAGGTGGATGAGCTAATTTAACTCTAGTGTAAAAGCAGCAATTGAAAAGGAGGTTGGATGCTAATAATGAAGTGATTGTCGGTTGGGTCGCTTTTTTTTTCTCGCATCCTGTCCAGGCAAACACATAGGTTTTGGAGATATCCTACCTATTGGAACAAAAATCTGAAGACTGAAGAGAAAGTTAACAGTTGTTCAAGATGGAGAATCTTTGGCACAGAAGTTAGATGTTTTTCAGAGTGAACGTTCACAGTTGAAGAGAATTATGAAAGAAGCAACATGGAAGTCAAGAATGTCAGTGCATGAAGATGCAAGAGTAAAGCGAAGAGGTCGCATCTATTGGCTACATTTGTACCAAGTACAATTGCAAACCATTAAAGTTTCACAGTAACTGCTGTTTCTTCAAATCACTGCAGAAATGCAGAAGTAGTTGAGGCTGAATATAAAGATTCATGCATCACAGAAATCATTTAAATTCTTTCAAGGCTACTCTGTTGTACAGATGGTTAGTCACATTCCTAAACATACGGAGATAGGAGAATCAATCTCCTATTAAATCAAGCTGTTTTTAACAGGTTCGTATTAATGTTTGATGAGCGGAGTGCTGAGGGGAAGTTTCCACATTTAGATGTTTAGTGAAGTATGGGAGGAGGATCCTATGCCATCTCTTAGCATGTGATTGATTTCCAAGTTCAAAAGAATCTCCCAAAAGGTGATTGACATGAAGTATTAACTCTGTACCCACACTGATGCCAGGATTGCTGAATATTTCTAGCAATTTCTATTATTTCTGGTTTTGAGCATCTGTAACATTGTTTTGACATAACCATCCTTTGCTTATGCTAGTCAATCTCTTTGTCTACTCCATTTTTTGAGCAGCAGCCTGTCCAGGGTGTCTTTTAAACCTTGGCTTATACTCTTTGAGTCCCTAAAATGAGATTATGATGTCGTGGAATGCATGCTATCTTAATTGCATCATTCACTGTCCTCTATCTCTACATTAAAGATAATCCAAAATAGTTCTGGAGCTCTACAGTATTCTGCCATTCTGTACATTTCGTGCAGGATTTATCCATTGAAATTTTCACATCTTTAGCTTTGCATAATATATTTACACTGCCTGAAGTGCGATGCTCTTCTTTACAACTTGTCTAAAAGTAAGGGTTACATGTTTCCTTCCTAAATGTAATTGGAGGAACTAATACTCCATGTTTATACTTTTACTCCTCCGTCCTATTCTGCGAGACATACCTGTTTTGATACTGATGCATTGTATTTAATATATAAAGTAAAAGGGATGTGGCTAAGAGCTGAGCAATACTCTGTTCAGTATTCACTTGTGCATACTTGCAGTGATTGTAAACTAACAGACTTGTTCTTCCTTCCTTCTCTCTTTTCCACTCACTTCTCCACATTTCCCCATTCCTGAAACTTATTCCCTCCCTGACATCCCATTCTCCCTCCCCACCTGCCAGTTTCTTCCTCCTCTCACCAGGCCCCCCCCCTGTTTTCCTGTATCCCATTCCCCTTTCCTTTGTCCCCCATCCTATACCTTCTTTCCCTTTTCCTTTATTTAACTTGCTGGTGCCTTCATCAGCTCCTTACCATAAAACATTTCTAAATTTGCTGGTTCATTTTCTGAGGCTGCAAACCATGAGTGTTGGTTAGCTCTATCCTTGAATTACTCTTTTTGCTTTCTTCTTTTGTAAGGAAATAGAATTTGTGGCGTGCTGACTGTAACAGTGTAGAAGTGGAAGGCCTTTCACAACATATGGACTTGAAGGAGTAAGTTGAATAAATCTTAAAAAAAAGTTGTGTGCTTTTGGGACTGAAGTGCATGTTTTCTTGTCAACATTAACAGTCACAGTAACGGAATATCCTTGTTGGCTGCCAGGTTATGCTTTATCATGCCTCAAATCAAGTTTATTATTTTTCTGAAAAATAAGTGCACAATCTCATTAGCGCACACAGTATTCCTGTGGACCTCATTATTTTCTCCTGCTATCCAGCAGCTATCCTGTTTTGTAAACAGATTGGTTTGAGCCCAGGTCATTTAAATATACAATTGGTATTATCAAGACCAGCCTATATCTTGTATGTGCAAACAAGATTGCATGGTTTATATTGAGTATTACATATTATCAATAAGAAGTAATATGCTGGTATTTGTCTGGAGCTTTGCAAAGGATAATTCCGAAGTGGCGGTAGCTTTTCTATCTAGGATGGTTTATAATTGCAGTGTCAAATTATAGGATGGCTAAATATGCAAATTCAGTATCCCGTATTTATTAATAATGGTAATGATTCAGTTGGATGTTCAGTGTCAGCTTACTGGAGCTGATTTGTCTTAAAAATCCACTAAGTGACACCTTTTGTTTCATAAAGTGTGATTTAGTTCATTATTGAACAGTTGTAAAATGTACCTATTTTGTACTGAATTTGTAACAAAGAAGGGATGCGACACTGGAGTACTAACAAATGTCTTGATGAATTCAAGAGTTGTGCTGTGGTAATATTTGAGACAAATCCGTTTGAAGGCTGGGCCATGAGGATATTGGGCTAAATTTACAAGTAATTTGCTACATCTTAGTTTACATTGAGCAGCAGTGCTACTGACTTTATTTAAATAAAATGTAATGTGGCTTAAATTACAGTGCCTGAAAATTCTCATGGTCTCAATTACCGTCTTGATGACTTGTTCTTGTGCTTTACAGCTGTTGCATTATTGCAAATCATGTTGGCAAGTGTGAAAAAATTGTTCCCCTGTGTTGTGTAATGCAATAGGTTTGAGTGCTTTGAAAGACCGACAGACCACTAAATTCATTTTCATAGCCCTGTATTTTTGTGTGCCAATATTTTTTTCACAGTTTGATGTCAAAGCAAATGAAGTTGCATGATCCACTGCCACTGTATAGCTTCCTGCAAAGATGGAACCTGGTCTGTTAGACAGTCCTGTCAGTACACAGCCTCTGCATCATCACACCTTCTGCAGAGTGCAGCGACAGACTGCAGTCAAGCATGCCATGCGTCTAGGCTAATTGCAGTAGATTTTGGAAGGGCCTTGGTGCCCAGAGCGGTGATGTATACCATCACCAAGCTGTGTACATGCTCTGGCATTTATAAACCAGGGTCCACCTGTGGGTCAAATGGTACCCACTATGTTGTAGGTCTGATTCAGGAGAGTCCAAGGCCCTGTCAGCAGCTTCTGGTCCCTTTTAAGAAGCAACTTCAGTGAACACCTGCAACAGAGTGTGATCTAGTGTTAGAGCTGCCTCCTTTGGGATTCAGTGTTTAAGGTTGAGTGGAAAATGCCAGATGTTCAATAAGTTTGTCTCCAAATCCTGCTCAGGCAAAAATAAAATCAAATTGTACTAAAATGGTGCCTGTGTCATGCATCCAGACTTCAGAT